CCCCCCCCCCCCCAGTCTCTTTGCAGGATGAAGTGGGAAATGTAATCGCTGGAATTAGACTGGTTTCAAATTACACAAAAAGCAATTTCAGATAGTGCCAAGAATAAATCAACAGGCCTATGGGATAGAGATAAGGGAGAGACTACCTTAGGGTGGTCAGGAACTACCTCTCCGAGGAGGTGACATTTGAGCCGAGATCTGAATGATGAGAAAGAGCCCCCTGAAGATGTAGGGAGAGGGCGTTCCAGGCCCAGGGAACAGCAAAAGCAAAGCCCCTGAGGCTGACGAAGGCAGGGCTGTAGCAGTGGAGACGGGAGAAGTGGGTCTGTTTGGGATATAGCTCACAAGGCTCATGGATGAATGTGAAGCAGGGGTGAATTTTCAGTGTGTGTGAGCTGATGCAGAAACTAGGAGACCGGTTGCCCTGTGGCTCTCCCTGTGCTCCCCTGTAATATCTTCTCCTGGGGAGGTGGGGCTTCCGGTGGTCCATCTGGGCAATAGCATTGGCAGCTTCAACAAACCCGCAGCTCCTTCCTTCCTTCCACGAGGTGGTCTCCAGCACTTTCTCCTCACAACCCTAGCATCTCAAGGAGGGGAGAGTTTGAACTGTGCCCTGGGCTGTGGCTGCAGCCTGAGTGAGCCCCGCAGCCCTCTGGGGGCCCCTCCCTATTCCCAAATGCCAGAACCCGGGGACCTTCAGGAGCTTGACTTTTGGGAACAGGGGAGGAGGAGACCCCTCCGCCACCACCCAGCCCAGGCCCTCAGACTTGGCAAGTGGGTGTGGTGCACACATGTTCTCTCATACCCCCTTCTGCTCTGGAGGGCCCTCTGGGATAACCAACCCCAACGGCTAGTCACTAGCGGGAACCTGGGGCCTCAGCCCCTCATCCTGTCCCATCCCCGATCCAACTGGTCACTGTCCTACTCACTCAACCCTCTGAAGGGCTGCTGTTGACTGAGCAGTGCCTTCCTCGCCGACCTCAAGCCCCTCCCCAATCCAGACGGCCATCTCTTCCCCGGGCCTTGCCACCCTCCGCCTCACCCCCAGCTCTGCCCTGCAATCCTGCATCCCCCTGGGGGTTTCCTCAAGCACCTGTCTGAGCCCATCACTCTGGGGCTTGGAGCCCTTCCCTGCTCCCCCACACCCTTCAGCCTGGCATTTAAGGGTAGACATGGGGACTGTGGGCCTCTGCTCCAGCACCCCACTGTCGTTCCGAGCCAGAGAAGGTTGGTCACCACTTCCCCAAGTGCCTCTGTGGCCTTGTTCATGCTGTTCCCCTTACTGCCTTTCCACCCTGCCTTGGAGGCCCCACTCAAAGTTTTCCCAGCTCCTAAAGCCTTTGCTGCCAATGCTGCCCACTGTCACACGCTCCACTGTGCCTGTCCCCTCGCCTCCACCACGGTCCACGTCAGGACCCCCTCCGGGCTCTCACGTTGCCTGGGACCCCCACCGCGACGCTGTGGTCCCACTGGGCTGCCGTTGTCTCAATGCAGTCCTGACCTCCCAACGTGCCCAGAGACTGGGGGCTCGTGGAGGTCAGGCTCTGTGTCTTCCGTATCCTGGGTCCACAGTGCCTCATACGGGGGCCAGACACAAATGATGTGGCAGGGAATCTGGGGGACACACGGATAACTGGTGATTACTGGACCAGTTCTAAATTAGGAGCAGGAATCCTGGGGGGGGTGCCTAGGGGGCTCAGTCAGTTAAGCGTCTGACTGTGGCTCAGGTCATGATCTCACGGTTCGTGGGTTCGAATCCAGTGTCAGGCTCTGTGCTGACAGTTTGAAGCCTGGAGCCTGCTTCGGATTCTGTGTGTGTCTCTCTCTGCCCCTCCCCCACTCGTGCTCTGCCTCTGTCTCTCAAAACTAAATAAGTGTAAAAACAAATTTTAAAAAAGCAGGAATCCTAGTCAGGGAGAGACCCTACCCGTCCCTTATTCCCACCCTCTCGCCTCACCTGAGAACACAGGGTCAGAGTTGGAAGGTGGCCTGCACAAGGCCCTCAGAGGGATCAGGGGCAGGGCTAGCCATAGCCCACGACTCCGACTGCCCTGGCATTTCCGGGCACCTCCTGGGCCGGAAACAGTTCCATCCAGGTCAGGCCCTCACGGCCCTCCCCGAGGCATGAATGGGCCGGATGGGGAGATCGAAGAACCCACCTGGACTTTCCAGTCCTGAGCGGAACATTCCTCCCTCCCATTTTATCCTGTTTCTTGATACAAGCTGATCCAGTTGGAAAATTCCCTCTGCCTGGTCCCTGCCCACTGACTCTGATGCAGGCCAGAGCAGGGAGGATGCCTGGGCAGGCTGACTGCCTCCCCCGCTTGACCCCAGCCTCTGGCCCCCATCATCTGAACCCCAGTGGTTCACACAGAGGTAAGAGGCAGCGCAGCCACCGTGTGACCCTGTAAGCCCTGTGCATGCCACTTGGATTTCCTGAGCCTCCATGACCTCATCTATGAAATGGGAGTTGGAATAACAGTCCCTCCTTCTTGGGGACGTTGGGGGAGTTAAGTGATACACTAAAGGTCAACTTTTATTTTACTGCCACCATGTCTAAAAAGTGCTGCTGCCTGGTAATTAAGTGCTCAACCAGGACTGGGTATTATTTACTCTAATGCTTTCTGGTTTGACAGAGGAGATCTATGTTCTCCTTTGTTCCTCATCACATCCCGTAACAGAATTACCAGCCCCATTTAATAGCGAGGAGTCACACTCAAGTGATAAAGTGGCTTGCCCAGTTCAACGGCAGAACTGAGCCTCTCCCCAGCCCTTTCCCGCACAAGGGGGACTCTCAACTGAGGTCAGTACCCCTCAGGTCAATGTCCACAGGCACCTGTAACACAGACCAAAGTGTAACCAGGGCACGAACTGAGACCTGGCCCTGAAGGAATGAGAGAGAGAGAGAGAGAGAGAGAGAGAGAGAGAATGAACATGGCCAATCCCAGGGACTGGGGACACATCTGGAGAAGACCTGGCCTGGTACTGACTTTAGAAGGACGGGGACCACATGCTCTGTAGAGTAAAGAAAGAAGGGTGCATCTGGCAATGGGAACAGCTTGGGCAAAGGCAGAATGTTAGAATCTCAGTGAAGACTGGAACCATAAGCTTTCATTCATTCATTCATTCATTCATTCGTTCATTCAGAGAACCCTCTCTGGACAGATGTCTTGTGGGGTCTCAGGGGAACCAGATGTGATTTTGCCTGGTCCCTGCTGTCAGGTTAAGGGGATCTTAGAAGTCAGAGAGGTCAAGTCAGGGAAGTAGGAATGAGAGTGGGAAAGCCCCCAAAAGAAAAGGCCAGAAGCCCTGGGTCCAATGCCGTTGAGGCAAACCAGACGCCCTGACCTGCTCCCAGCCAGCCTGCCGGCCGGCCACATCCCTCCCCACCTGCAGCCCCCGCACTCGGGTCTTTAGTGGGAGCAGGTGGGAGGGGAGCTCTGGGATCCAGTGACATGGTTACGGGACACCATCTGACGTGCAACAGGACCCGGGTGAAATGTAAGCCTGCAGGCCCGGTGCCCGGGTCCCGCCTGGGGGCTGCGGGCGCGTATGTGGGCCCTGCCTGTGCTGCAGCTGAACCTGCGCCCCCTTCTCTGGCTGAGACCTCACAGTGGCTTCCTCGAAGGCCCTAGAACCATAGCCACCAGAATGACGGTGCAGGCACTCTGGTTCTGAAGCCCAGGGACAAAGTGTGGTTTCACAGAGTCTGAGCCCTGGAGTCGCCACCGAGATATTGGGAGAGGAGATGCGTACGTGGAGGCCAGAGATCCTGGGTGCGAATCCCAGCATCACCACTTACTAGCTGTGTGACCAGGCCTGGCGCTCCCTCTCTGCCGCGGTTTCCCCCTGGGGTAACACTGGCTGCCCTCCCTGCCTTTCACAGGTGCTGCGAGGACCCAAAGACAGAGCTTGGGCCAAAGGACTTTGCGTACCCCACGGGGGTGACCCTGAAGACCTGGAGGAACAGGGATGCGCCTGGCCCCGGTGTCCAGGACCTGGCCCCTGGCTCCTGAGCCCGCCCTTGCCCCCAGAAGAGCCTTCTGCTCCCTGTCCTGCACCCTCGTCTGCCCTCAGCATTCTAGGAACCCAAGACAGAAACTTGGTTCTAGCTCCATAGTCCCCAGCACCAGGCACAACCCAAATTACAGTGGGACTGAGCCTCCCTGGGTCCCTCATGTCCCTGCTAAGCTGGGACGCTGCTCTCAGTACCACATCCCCAAGCCTAGTACACATGTGCTTCCCCCAGGGGCCCTCCTCCAGGCTACCTGCCTTCTCCAGCACAGGGCCCCGACTTTATACTTTTCCATCCCTCCCCACTCCCACTCCCACTCCCCACAGAACCTGCACCTCCTAGGTCCCTGTCCTTCAGGGCCACGAGAAGTAAAGGGTTAACCTGTTAGATGGACTCCCATGGCAGTGCCAAGGCAAACAATGAATTCCTAGGACGCCATAATCCAATAGAGCAAGACCATGGGCATTTTTAGACTGACGTCACTGAGGTGTTCTCTACATGGGATCCAACTTCTGAGTCAACAATCCAGTGACACAGCTATTACTGTCTCCATTTTACAGAGGGGGAAACCAAAGCTCGGAAGGGAAGGGGACTTGATGGAGGTTGCACAACTAATAAGCGGGCAGGATGGGATCTGAATCCAGTCTGACTCAGCACCCCTGTGGAGGCTCCAGGCTGGTACCACGCCCTGTCCCACCGCGCACACACGCGTGCCCTCCACACACCCATCTCTAACACTATGCAGAACAGACGGAGCGCTTATGGAAACAGAGCCAGCAGCCTGTGCAGAGGGGAGGCACTCTCTCACTGAGGCCGTGGGAAAGCTCCACGGACGAGGGGGTGCCCGAGAGGCAGGGGTAGGGTCACAGGTACTGCCTCCACCCCCTTGAGGTTACTACCTGGTCCCTGCCTGGCAGCCTGTGTCTTCCCGCAAGGGCAGGGGAGGTAGGGGGCTACTCACATTGCCTTCATCGTCCACCACCTGGATCTGCCCAGAGTCACAGAGCTTCACCACGGCTCCGATGGGCACATCAAACTCCTGCCCAGATCTCAGGTCCATCCAGACATAGTCCCCCTGTGGATGAGAGAGGCCAGGTGAGCAGGGAGGGGGATCCTGTGCCTCAGTCCTCCTACCCCCAGAGGCTCCCGTGCTAACCACAGGAGAGGGAAGGAAGGGGAGCTGGCACTTGCTGGGACCATTTGGTGTCAGGCCCCTGGCCAGGCACTGATGCAATGTCCTCAATCCCTCCTCTGTAACAGCCATTACTGTCCCCATTTCACAGATAGGTAAGCAGAGGCTCAGAGAGGGGAAGTCAAGAGCACACAGCTGGACAGCTTCAAATCCAGAGCTGTCCAGCGCCTGGCTCTCCCCAAGGCTCTACAACCCCACACACGTACAGCAAATCTGTCGCAGCTCAGGCAGAAACACCAAGCCACCCAAACCACTTCCCTTCTGTCTTAAGGGAGGCATCCCCACAGGACACCCAAACAGTCTCCATCACCTCTGGGGTCAAGTCTCATAGTCACGGGTGTGGGTTTCCTCACAGTGACACTGCTCTGTGCTGGGCCCTGTGATATGAGTTCTACCACACCACCTCCCGGCTTGTGGGGGAGAGCCCTGACCTTGAGCGGGAGGGTGTCACACTGGTGTCCCCTGCCCTCACCACACACCCAGTGAAGGCACATGGAACCCAAACCTGAAACCCAGAGTCAGAGAAATGGATTTAGAACAACCACTTTCAGCACTGATACATTCCACAAACATGTATTGAGCACCTACTGAATATAAGGCACTGATTGATCTAAATGCCAGGGATCCAGCAGTGACCACGGAGTCCACATTCCAGTTGGGAAGAGACAGAAAACAATTGAGCAAATACGTTCACACAATTGATCACTGAAGACAGAGGGGAGGACAGTGAAGGGGCCAGGCACACCGATGGGCTGGGCGACGGCAGTCACAGAGGTGGGCAAGCTCCAGCACCATCGACTCTCACTGGCCTGCAGGTAAGAGTTTAGATGTTATTCTAATCCTAGTAAGAGGATTCCCCAGAAGCATGAGAGAACACAGACGTCTTGATAAAACTAACTCACCAAGCAGCAGTTAGAAATAGAACAGCTGATAAAACAGAGGGCAATGAACCTCACCCCTGGGAATGACCCAGCGGAAACCACGTGGGCTGAGAGTCGGAAACCTGGGTCCCAGGCTTCCCCAGGCTGGGCCGTGGACAAGTCGCTGACTGACTTGAGTCTCAGTTGCCACACGCCTCTGAGGGATGGGCTTAGTGAGTCTCAAGGCCAAGTCTGCACTGCTTCAGACTCCTACTGTTCGTTCCCATTGGCATCAACTCTTCCTTAGCCATGGCTGCCACTTCGTGGGAGGTTACACACGCCCGAGGCAGGTTAGCTCCAAACCCCAGCTTTCTCCCAGAAAAAGGAGGAAACATTAGGCAGCCTCTGGAGAGGAGAACTCACTTGTGGGTGTGAAGTGTGCCTGCCGGGGCTGCCTGCTTCCGTGAGGCGCCCCATGTCACCATGTCCCACACTCAAGATGCGCTTCCTGACACCCCCACCTACCCAAGCTCCCAGTTCCAGGCTGAGGACCACCTGCCCCACCTGCTCACAGTGCTCATCTCCACCTGCCCGCTGCCCTCCCACCTTCCCACCTGTCTGTCCAGACCCAGAGCAACTTGCAGCCCTTCCAACCCCTCTCCGCCTCCCCTCCTTCTTCCCTCTCCTCCTCAATTCCCGAAGAGCGCATTCATTCATTCTGCATGTATTTATGGAGAGCCCACTGCAGGCCGGTCCCCTTCTAGCTCTGGGGACAGAGCCATGAACCGATTGGAAAGGCAGCGTGCCTCTAGCCGGGGGGGGGGGGGGGGGGGGG